AACGATGGGTGACAAATGAGTGACTGTTAAGTCAGCCATGAGTCTGACTGTGCATATGTATGCTATTCAATGCAAGCTTTTCTTTTTTCACTCTAGATCTCCCATATAGGGCTATGGAACTTGCAGATACTCATACACTTAATGCATGGGTGTGTGGGAACCAGCTTGGAACCAGCTTAGGAGAGTTAATTATTAAAATTCAGTGTATTTGTACTTCATAAATAGGCAAATACTGCAGATCAGGACTTGATTTATTATTTTGTTGATTTCTAGATTTAAGAAAATGATGAAGAATAACAACAGTAATTATAGCCACTAACATTTGTATAGTGCATCCTATGTGCCACTCTACAAATATTGTCTCATTTAATCCTCACAACAACCCTGGGATGTAGGTGCTGTTATCATTCCCATTTTAGAGTTGAGGAAACTGAGACAGAAGTTAATTGACTCATCCAAGATTATACAACTAGTAGTTGTCTGAGGCCAGATTTGAACTTAGGTCTTCCTGATTCCAAGCTCAGCACCCTATCTACTTCACCATGTAGGTAGTAAAGTAGATTAAACTTAAAACTGTATAGTGAGTACATTTTTCTTCTTGGAGAGCCATTTGTTAAACATTACCAGTATACCTCTGTATGTATGTATGTGTATGCCCATATGTATGTGAGTGGGTGGGTGTAGTTGTGGGTCTGGTTATATATGTTTTAATGTAGATAGAGCATCAGACTTCCAAGTCAGGACCTGAATTCAAATTCTATCTCAAACATAGATTAGCTGTGTGACCCTGGACAAATTACTTAACCTCTCTTAGCCTCAGTTTCCAAATATGTAAGCCACTTACAACCCTTTACTATATAAATATTAGCTATTACTATTACTATGAAAGGCAGATAGTCTTGGAATCAGAAAGACCTAGATTAAATTCTACTTTTAACATACACTGGCTTTAAGACCCTGGGCAATCGTTTAAACTCTTGGTATACCAGTTGCCAATCTACATTGGTAGAGTAGATTCTCTATATCAAGGAATATATATACATATTTTTATGTTGTACACATATTCTGTACATATGTATTGTGTATTGTATAGCATATTTCATATATACTACAATTTATATTTTAATATATAATCACATAAATTATATGTGTATATGCATATATTATGAAGGGAATCACTGTTTATATACACACATATATACACAAATGGTGATGCCCCTTACAAAACTAAGGGACATAATAAGCAAGCAAAGATTTCTACATGTACATATGTATAAATGTATTTATGTAAGTTTGTGTATATACGTGCATATATATTCCTATATATGTATATATGGGAGAGGGAGGAAAAGGAGAAGAAGGAGGAGGAGGAGGAAGAGGAGGAGGAAGAAGAGGGGCACTCTGATTTGTTTCTAACCTTAGAGAGTTATGTGTATATATATATGATAATGGGCACTTGCAAAGCCATATTAACATGTCCTCTCCCCCTCCCATGGCATGCTGTATACGATAATATATAAAGCTAGTAACAGGCTAGGCAAGCCCCTCCTCCCTTTAGCCCTTCCACCATTTGTGGTGGTCAAAGGCCCTACAGCATAGATCTTGAAGGTCTAGGGAAAGAAAGTCAGTATCTCAGGAGTGGGGCCTCTCAGGTATAAAGCCAGTATCTTCATTGCTCTGTTCAACAAAGCATTTTGCTTGGTGTAGAGCAGTGTTGGATGGCAGTGATCTGGGAATCATGGCGCCCTGGGGTATTAGAAGAGCAAGCCTGAACTGAAGAGGTATGATAGAAGCAGCCGCATCTCATTCTAGACTGGGTGACTATGAGCTATGCATCCAGTGGGTATCACTGACTAGAACTTTAATCAAAGACACATAGATGGGTGTGCTTTATTTCCACGTTTAAGGGAACACAGTGTTTAAAGTGCTGTGAAACTAGAGATGGGAGGTGGTGAAAGGTGTGCATAGTGCCTGTTCTTTCTAGTGCAGCCCAAAACATGAAGTAAAAGCTATTATCAGTACATCACAGCCCGGGGGCCTTTTTACTTTTATTTTTGTATAGGAGTCTAAGCAGTTTTATTTCTCATCATTCTGTGGTGGTGTACAAAAGTGCCAGCAGAACAAGGAAAATAAAAGCGGATTAGGTAACATGATTTATGTCTGAAAGTATTTTACTGAACTTTCTCCATGATAGCTTCTAGACAACTGTTCTCTTCTAAGGACCTGTGGGTCCAAGATGGGGTCTTGCAGCCTCAGGCCTCCCTGCTGATGCCTTATTTTATTTTTTTTTAAATTAATTTATTTTTAGTTTTCAACATTTACCTCCATAAGCTTTTAAGTTTTAAATTTTCTCCCCCTCCCTCCCTCCCTCCCCAAGGTGATGTGAAATCTGATGTAGGCTCTACATATATATTCCTATTAAACATATTTCCACATTAGTCATGTTGTAAAGAAGAATTAGAATCAATAGCAGGAACCACAAGAAAGAAGAAACAAAACAAAACAGAAGGAAAAAGAGCAAATAATATGCTTCAACCTGCATTCAAACTCCATGGTTCTTTCTCTGGATGTGGATAGCATTTTCCATCATGAGACCTTTGGAGATGTCTTAGATCTTTGCTGAGATGAGCTAAGTCTATCAAAGTTAGTCATCACACAACGTAGCTGTTACTGTGTACAACGCTCTCTTGGTTCTGCTCACTTAACTCAGCATCCCCCCTCATGACACTTGACAAACCCTTTCAGATCTTCCAGAAAGTTGATGTATTCCTGGTGTTCCAAGGCCATGCTGAGCTTGATCGGTTCATCAGCAAATGTATTCATTCACTCAGTTAACTAGGAAGCCCAGCAAGTGGTCATACAAGGCCCAGTCCAAGGAATTCATGTGCCACGTGTAGTGTGTGTCCTTCCAGTCAGACTCCATGGTGGGCTGAAAGCTAACTTCCCTGATAGAGAAGATGTCACTCTTCTCCTCTTCTTTCTGTCCAACCTCATTCTCTAGATAGTAGCAGTCCAGTCCTTCTTGATATTGTCCTTCACATACTCCACCACAAATTTCAGCGTTGTTGTAAGTTCAGGCTTCTTTTTTTCTCCTCTTTAATTTCATTCCAGGAATTCTGCAAAAGCCTTGTCCCCCTTGGTGTGGACCCCACCCCCACCCCCGTGTGTGCATGAGCATAGGCTATGAAATAAAAAAATCTGGGTCTGAATTGTGCCTTCTGCCACTGACATACCTTCGAGACCTTGAGAAAGTCAATTAACCTCAGCCTCCTAGGGGACTTTTCTCATCTATGAAAGGAGGGTTTTAGACCCGATGACTTCCAATATCTCTTCCAGCTCTAAATGTATGATCTTATGATTTTATGCACTTACATCTCCAGAAAAAGAGGTGGGTTGTTGCACTGAAGATGAAGGTAACAGATTCCTGAAGCCTTTAACTTATGTTCTGAAAACAGATTTTTTTTTTAAAGCAGCAGATCTCCAACATATAGAAGACTCAAAGAACTATGTGGATTAAAAATATGCAAGATGAGATGACATAGATAAGTTGTAAGGAATAGCCATATTGATTAGACCACAGATGTAGTTGAGTATTAATATTAATAATTAATTTAGTATTAATAATTCCATATCATTGAAATTAATATCAGCATCAGGTAGTTTTAGCTTGTATGTATGACTGTCAACCATTATCGATGACTAATGGTTTGCCCAATTGTCTATCCAACCCAGATGAGTTGATCTAATTTCAAGGTCTTGATCTTCCACAACATGATCCAGAGAAGAATTTAAGATGCGATAGGTGAAGGTTTGGGAGTAGATAAGATCGTGGAGGGAGATATTGTGTGTGTGAGAGAGAGAGAGAGAGAGAGAGAGAGAGAAATCAGGACAGAATTTTAGGGAATATCGAGATTCAGAGGGAACACTGGATTTGGAGGTGGAAGACCTTGGTTTGAATCTTGGTTCTGCAATTAGTTGCGTGACCTTACGCAAGTCATTTAATCTATTTTAGACATCACCACAAGTTCCTCATTAAAGTCAATTCAACAAACATTTGCTAAGTCCCTACCATGGTCAGAGCACTGCACTAGGCAAAAGAGGATGAAAATGTAAAAAAAGGACATTTTATAAAAATAAAATCCCTTAGTGGGAGGAGATAACATATAGGCAAGTGGGTATAAAGTACAAAGTAATTTTAAGAGGGAGCGTTCTTGTGGGGTGCTCATTTGTAAAATGGGAGATTATCTCTAAGGTCTCTCCTAATTCTAAATCCTCTGATCCCTCGAGAAGAAAGAAGCATCAGTGGAGGAGAAAGACGAATGGTCAGATGAGCCCTGGAAGACAAAGGGAGGAGAAAACTTCTTGGTGGTCAACAGGTGCAGAAGTCCAGTAGAAGAAAAAGGCAGATAAAAGAGCCAACGACTGCGGCAATGAAGAGGTCGTTGGTGACCTTGGAGAAAGCAATGCAAACTAAACTAACATGAAAGTCCATGAACAGAATTAAATAAGATACAAGAAGCAGAAGCTGTTGATAATGGTATCTGAGACAACAGATTAGACATTAATTCTTTTATGACAAAAGTTGTGCTCTATGCGTTGTTTTTTTTCCCCACGTCCTTTTTGAAGTGGAGAATTTTCTCTATTTTCTTAAGGAGGTGGAGGGACAGTAAGTCTAGAAAACACAAGGCTCTCACTATCCTAGGTATTTTAGTCTCTTCTGGACTCATCCTTCCTTGCCTACAGCCATGCAGTTCAGTTGGGGATGTTGTCCTATCTTCTCCGGCAGCTAGCTAAGTTAGTGAAAATAAGAGGCTTGCAGAGTTTGTCCCAGGGCATCTTTTCCTGAAAGCATTTTCTGCCACATGAGATAGTTGGGACTTAACCCAAAACTGAGCCTTCCACCTTCCCGGCTTCGTCGAAGCCCCAGTTTCTCTGATGTGCCGGGACTTGGAAAAGTTCAGTGCTCAGCCTGAGCTTCCTCCGCTTGGCTTCTCCGGGCTATGAAGTCCCCTCCCTGCCTTGTAGCGCTGCCTCAGGACCAGCCTGAGCAGGTGGAGTTGGCGCTTCTAAACCAAGTGCCAGTTTCCTTGCGCCCTCCTTCTCTCTCTCCCGCCCGCTTTCTCTCCCTCCCTCGAGACGCATCTTTAGCCTTCCCTCCAGGGGAGTGGGTGAGACTGGGGAGGACGAATAGGAGGGGTTGTTGCTGGCTGCCTTGCCTGCTTGCCTGCCTGCACCCCACCCCTCCCCAGCCCGCCTATTTCCGTGTCCCCTCCTCTTTCCCATTCATTCCCAGTCAGTCCCGGGCCCCGCAGGAGCAGCGACCGCAGCGGCGGCGGCGGAGGCGGCTCTGCGGGAGCTGCGGCGCTACGTTGGTAGCTGCTGCAGTGGCCCAGCAGGTGGAAGGAGTAGGAGGAAGAAGAGGAAGAGGAGGCGGCTGATAACTGGCAGCGGCGGCGCCTGGGAGGGGCTGTTTCACCTGCCCCGGGGCTGCAGCGGCGAGATCAAGAGCAGCTCTCCAGGTAACTAACTAGGAAACTCTCTGGAGTCCTGAGCCCAGCCGAGAGCTCGGGGAGGGGAGGAAAAGACTCAGCAGGCTCTGGGGCTGGGCTCAACTGGGCTGGGCTCGGCAGCCCCCACGACCCCAACCTGGGCACAGCCTGATTGGCGGAGCTGCGGTGGGTGAGGAGGCTTTTGGGGTGCTTAGCAGCCAGGGAACGCGGGCAGCAGAGCCTCCCTTTGTTTGAGCCAGGAGGTCTCGGCTCCTGGGAGGCGGAGAAGCAGGGGGCTGAACGCAAAAGTTCAGTGGTTTGCTTTTCCCCAACTTCAAACCTCTTTTCAGAGCGAACTGTTGAGCACCCCAGGCAGGAGCACGTGACTGAAGACGGCTCCCTGAGACCAGCTGGAGGAAGCCAGGGTGTGCAATGGTCCCTGGGGTGATGAGCAGGTAGGGGGCAGAGACAGGGACTGTGTGTGTGTGTGTTATGCAGACCATACATATCCGGAATTTCCCTAATGGAGAAATTCACCTGTTGCTAGGAGTTACGCGGAAGTGACCGCCCAAGTCAGTGGCTCTTTTCTGCAGCCAGTGAGCAGCGAAGTGCGAGGTTCGGGGCTCCCCGCCTTTGGTTCTCACTTCTCTGGAATGGACCATAGCCCGTACTAGTCTCTAAGCTAATATCTGCTTGTTTCCTAGCCTCTTTTCCATAACTCAACGAATGTTGATGAACTCATCTGTATAAAATAATTTCTTTATTAGCCAGATCAAAGAAGACTCAGCTAGAAAGCGCCCCTTCCCGAAACAATCACTTCATTCTTTTTCCACCTGATTAAACTCCAAGCTTCCTTGTGGGTCTAGGGAACAGAAATGGTTGAATAGGAATTCCGGGGCTGGGATTTCTGGATAGCAAGAAATGGGAACTCAACTTTGAAAGGCAAGCCTCGAAGAAATGGTCCCCAGAGCAATTTTCAAATATTGCAAAGCAAGCTCACTTCATTTCAGGACTCCTATATTTACTTCACGGTGGCTATGTTTAGGAGATTGGGAAAAGACTGTGGAATGTACTCTTTTTTTTTTCTTTCTTACATTCTGAAAGAAGACATACTGTGATACCTGGACTGATAAACAAGGATTTTTGTGACTCCTTTACAGGCAGTGTCAGACTTAAAACCTATTTCTTTGTGTAGTGGTGATGACAGAGAATTAGAAAGAAGAAGAGAACAAGGAATATTCTGAATCAGGAACTTCTCCCCCCCAACTGTCCTTTGTTCCCCCACTCCGAACACCTAGAGAGTGACTGACTTAGAGGGATCGAATTCTTTTATACAGCTGTGCAGATGTGCCTTCTCTTATGTAAATGTGGTGCCTGTCTACTCTTGTGGATAATTATCAACCTAGGGTTCACCCATCACCTCCTCTCCAAGTCTTTCACCCATACCTTGGAGGATTTTTTTTCTGGGTATCCTGAGTTGGAATTTGAAGTGCATTTTCTAACTGAGTGATGCTTCATTACCCCAATGGCCTAGTATTTCACCTTTCTTTATACTTCCTCTGCACAAGCAGATCATTGTGCCTTTGCCTTAGTAGTCAAACTTCCTGAATAGCTATAGCCAAAAACAGAAACAAAAACTCATCACTTGGTATCCAACCTTCTGCTGATGAGCCTGTCAAAGTAGAGAGGTTGAGCCTCCATTAACAGTCACATAGGTGGTTGCTGGCTAAATGGCTAGTAGTGTAAAGGTATGACTTGGTACAACTACCATGAAACATCAGGTCAGAATGCTAGACTTGGAGTCAGGAAGACTTGGTATCAAATCCAACCCCAGTACTTTTTAAACTTTTGCTGGGGCAACTCACTGTCACTGAGCCTTAGTTTGCTAACTGTAAAAAGGGATGATAGTATCTTCAGTACTTACCTCTTGTGAAGTTCCAATGAAATAATCCATGTCAGTGATAGTTAAGGCAGCCTAGGGAATATATTTATAAGATATACTTAGCATATTTCACAGACTTCACAAAAATAGCAGTCAGCTTCATACCACTATGAAGCAATGGTGCGTATAGTTGTGAAGTATAGCTAGAACAACACTTATGAGTACAGTGCTTCTAGCACAAGGGGTTGAATGGGCTTTTGGGGACTGGCCTGGAATGACCATGTGTAGCCATCTTAAAATACTATAATCCTCCCCAGTCAGAAATTATCTATGTGAAGGTAGGAGTCCTATGTGCTCCAAGCTGTAATAGCACTTTCTCCCTATCTCTCTCAAGAAGGTAGCAAAGTCTTTTTTATCGCATTTATTTGCATATGCATCTCATTTCCTTATTAGATTACAAATTTCACCAGAACAGGAACCTGTTTATCAGTTATCTTTCAATACGTAACCATGACTTCAGTTCAATTGTACAAATGCTTACTAAGTGTCTCCTATGGAGAAGACATGGTGATGGGTGCTAGGTATACAAGGACAGCATCTACCCGAAAGGAGCAAGATGTGCAATATGTCTTGCACATAGTTGGTGCTTAATAAATGTCTGTTGATGCTGTTTCTGGCTACTAGCATTTTTTCTATCAGAAAACATTATGAATGTTGAGCAACTAACTTTAAAATATAGCACGAGACCGGTTCAGAAAATTATTTGCTGATTTCTCTTACAAAGTGTATTGAAAAATTGGGGAGCTTTCTTGGGTAAGGAGATAAGCAATTGGATGTATTTTAAATTCATGTATTACAACAAACTTTATAGGCCAGAGATGTGAGAAGTCAGTAGAAGAGAAAGTCCAGTCACAAGAGTCAGAAGCCAGGTGCATCTACAACTCCTCACTTCTTGGTTAGTGTCCTGACCAACGCACAGGAGTAGTTTTGAAATAAAGGCTATAAGACTTGTGTCTCTCATAAATATGTATATATATATGTATATATATATATATATATATTTGTATGACATATAGATAGGCAGCTTGGGGGTGCAGTGGCTAGATAGAAGGCTAAACCTGAAGTCAGGAAGACCTGAGTTCAAATGTGACCTCAGATGTTTGGTAGATGCTTAATCCTGGGCAAATCACTTTAATTTCTATCTGCCTCAAGTTTCTTCAACTGTAAAATGGGGATATTAATAGCATCTATGTCCCAGGGTTGTTGTGAGGATAAAATGAGTTGAATTGAAATTGAGAAAATTGAATTATAAAGTCCTTTGCAAACTTGGACATCATATAAATGCTAGCTATTGTTTTTATTATATCTGTACACAGACATAATTTTATCTTAACTAAGTCTTCTGAACTTTAAAAAGAGTTAAGTGCTAAAATTCATATTAAGTTTCATATTATGTACTTTCTGAAGCATTTCACATGATTTTAGTTAGTTAACAATATTTTTGCACCACAACCCTCCTGTTTATTTCTTATGGCTGGAATGTATCTCCATGTTTCCTGTTGTTTCTCCCTCTGGTAACAAAGTTTCTTAAAATAAAGTGTGTTGTTGGAACACATCCTTACTGTTGATCTAGGTCAATGCAACACACTTCTTTTTTTTTACTAAGCATCATGTCGATTCAAGATTATTATGTTTTCATTCCTCTTTTTTTTTCCCCATAAACCAGGAAAGTCTTTTACTCCCTGGATCTCTAGAGGCGATTTCTTTTTCTTAATAAGGTCATGTAACCCCCTACCAACCCCCATCATGGACTGGGAAATACTGCCCTGCCTCTGTCAATTAAAGGATGTTTGGAAGTAAAGTCAGCAAGCATTTATTAAGTACCTGCTATGTGTCAGGTACTGTGCTAAATTCTGAGGATACAAAGAAATGCCAAATCCACCCCCCCCTTAAATACCTCCCAAACCTACTTTCTGCTCTCAGTGAGCTCACAGACTAATGGGGGAGTTAATATGCAAGCAACTGTGTACAAAGAAAATGTGTACAGAATCAACAAGAGATAATCTTTGAGGGAAAGCACTAGCATTAAAGGGGGGCTGTGGCTTCTTGCAGAAGATGGGATTTTAGGTGGGACCTGATTGAAGCTAGGGGAAGCCTGGAGGCAGAAATGATTCCAAGCAGAGCATTCCAGACATGAGACAGCAACAATTTATTTTTTTTTTAGGACAGACATAAAAGATTAAAATTACTTGATTTTAAAATTAAGAACTAGGAATATAATACTTTAACAGTAATAATATATTTTCCCCTTAAAAAGTTAGTTTATCAATTGTTGACATGGAGAGAAATAATCTAACTACTTAAGAGATTTCAAGGCAAGATTCTGAGACTTGGAATCCGAGGCACTGGTTTCTAATCAAGGCTCTACCACTTACTTTCAGCAAGTCACTCAACCTCTCCAGGTCTTAATTTTATGTATAATATAAGGGAGTTGGCCTTAATTACCTCTAAGGTCCCTTCCAATGTTAAAGCTTTGATTCTGTGACCCTTTAGAACACAATCTCACAACTGAGGGAGGTGTTTATAGAGGATGGTGTGTATAAATGTCCTTCTGATGAGTTAAAATTGAAAGAGTACTTTGATACCCCAATGCTCTTGTATGTTCTATAAATGTTAATAAAGGACTAGTCTATACTAACAAAATAAAGAATTGAGGCAATTAATTTAGTCAAAAATTGTTTTAATCTGAAGTAGAGATAATTGAAGCACCTGCTAGGATTAATGAGGATAATTTTCCTAACTTTTCACTTCATCTGGTCTCATTTTACTGCAACCTAATATGACAAATGTCATGTATTCAGTTTTAAGATAAATCCTTTTAAACTGATACTAAACCAAAGGGCTGGGCAATTGCATGGCCTCTGTGAGGTGCTTGAAGAAGATAAGCCTGGCAGTCATTTTCTATAAAGACATTGGTCTTTTCCTGACTAATTATTACATTGAAATGACTTTTTGTGTTAAAATTGCATCTTGTTCTGGTCCCTTCAACCCCCCTCCCCCACATTCTATCTAGTTCATGTGGTATATTATAAGGAGCCAGTATAAAGTAACAATAGCAGCAAGTAAGATTGAAAGGGGAACCTGGAAGTCACTCACAGACTGTCCCATAGATCAAAGGAGGATAATTTGTAAACTGTATAATATATTAACCAAAAATCATATCCTGAGACTATGTGCTAAATCAGAGAAAACCAGTCAGGCCTTGTTGTCAGGGCTTTTTGGTCCTGTGCTCTGTAAACCTCAGATAAGCTCCGGAGGTTTGCAGTGAGACCAGCAGAACACCAACTGTTGCTGATAACTTTGAGATGGTGTGACTGTGTTGCTGAACCAACTGCAAAGTGGTATGGATGAGTTAGTCTGTCCCTCACTCAAACCCTGTAAAAAATGAGACCTCAAACTCCCTTCCCCATCCCCCGCTCCACTACAACTCCTCTATACCTGTTTGGGTCCATGCTGCTGAGTACTTCCAACTCTAATCCACAGCAACGCAAGTGACACTCTGTGCCTATCCCCCTTCCCATTTTCTTCCCTATGCTCCGGGTCTTACTACACCACTGAATCCCAGGTCCCACACTGTCAGCTTCAATATCCCCTTACCACTTTTATTTGTCTCTGTATTTTTATGCTATTTGTGCCTGCACCCTCTGTGCTGTATTAAGCTGTGATTGAAGCATTACTTGCTGTTGCCAACACAGTCTTTCCCAGTAAGTACTTAGAGAACTAGGCATGCCT